CGCGGACCTTAGAATGAGATGGGTTTCAACAGGTATAAATACAGGAATAAGGAATTCTATTTTGCTGCCAACTGATTACAATTTGCTTTCACTCCAATTTATTGGCCGTCAGATCTCGCCATGTGATTCGTGGTGAATTTTTCAGGTGGCTCAATTTTTTCCGCCTTCCATCGAATTTCTGGACATTTGACAGCGCCGTACGATGGCTATGGCATTTAGCCTTCACCATATTTTTAAATTTTGTTGTGTGGTTTATTTCATTTCCCTTGTAACTATATGACGTTTTGTCTCCTGCTTTTCTTTGGGAAAAGGATAAGATCTATTATAAAAATTCACTGAAAGTACAAAGCATCTCAAACAAAAATTACATCAAGATTCATGGACCACCGAACGACCATTGTCCCCGCCAGAACGCCGCAGACGAACCGCTGTCGCGGCTCCCATACCAGAGTCGTCCTGGTCTTGTCGATGACAACCGGTAAGTCTTCGTGCACTTGCCCCTAAGGACCAGCATCCTGGGCCATAGTCATCGTCATTGAATTCTTGAATCGATCCAAAAACGTGACACCAATTATCATTGTTGTGAACGCACGGCGAGATACCCAAACGTCGCCACCCCAAGGAGCTGGTAGGAATCTAAGTCGGAGCTCCGTCTAATCCGTCCCAACGGACAAACTTGAGGAGGATCAAATCCTGGAAGACGGACTCAAAGAAGGAGTATCGCCATCTATCCAAACGCCGCCTCTGTGAGGATTAAAACTCTACCTATCTACTAGCGGGAGTCGAGACACGAGGATTCTCCTCCCCGCCACCAGCCGTTGGAGCGCCAGGCGGATAGGAGACGAATCACGGACTCGTGGTGGAGATTGAGAGGAGGAAGGCTTTTCCAAGTAGCCTTGGGAGAGAGAAAAGAAAAGCCAAAAAATCTTCTCTCCTGGTTATTGTTTGGTAATGTCTACATTTGAGACTTAATTTTAATTGTCCCACTCTGCGTTATGAATTTATGCGGCTCAACTGGTTGGGGGAGAGGATGTATAAACCTAACACATGGGTTCAAATCCTCACGGAGGCGAATTTATGTTCTTGTGTATTCTTGAGGACCAAGCTTTTCTGGTACTCATGCATTTATTGAGGACTAGGCTTGGTGTGTAACCGAGATTAAAAATCCTAATATTCATACTTAAAAGGCCGTATGCATCTCTAGTTGGTACAGAGGTCAGGGAAGTGAAATTCTCCCCAAATTCAAGGGCCGATGCAGGACACCAAATCGCCTGAGGAGATTGGATCTCATTCTTGTGACCTCCTCTAGCGTTCCCACGGGCGGCAGGGGAGGAACCCCTAGCCGCCGCAGGACCGCGACTTCCTCCCCCTTTCCTCCCCTCACCGCCACCAGGGTGTGCCGGCGGGCGAAGCCCGCCAGGCATCGGCGGCGGCGGGGCACTTTCTCCTTCTCGCGAGGCGGGATTGCCGTGGGGCGATCTACCCTGGTCAGAACGCCGCGTGGTGCGGGGCGCGGCGACGCTGGGCTGCCACGGTGGCGGGCGTGGAGGGCTGCATGAGGTGGGTTGTGTGCTGGTGACGGCTACGGCGGCCGGTGGTCGACCTGCGGGATCTGGACGGCGTGGGGAGCGGTGCTACCTGTGCTAGGCGGAGTCAGGCGGGATCCCCGCCGGGCTGGCATCCGTGGTGCGCGCGGTCTTGCTGGTTGCTCTCCGGATTCGTCTTGTCGCTTGCGCTCGACCTTCTGGGTCGGCGCCGAGGCAGGTCGGGGAGGCATCCCCGGGGTGCTCGTGATGTGCTACTGGTGGCTGTGTTTAGCCTGGCGTAGGGCACAGCTACTGATGGTGGTGGAGTCCGAAGGCTCGTCTCCAGGGAGGCTGGACTTGGCGGTGGTGGTCATCTCCTCCGTTGGAGGTGGTCGACCAGAGGTTGGGTGGTCGGATCTCCAGATCCGTCATCTAGTCCCGGCTGCTCGTCGGGGAGACAAGGTTGCCGGTAATCGAGCCGGTGGCGGGCGATGGCGGGGTTATGTGCCGTTACTTTGATGAAGGCATCGTCGTGTAACTACTGTCGACCCACTCGTGCTTCTTCGGGGAAACCCTACGATCTGGTCTTCCAGATCGGACGATGGCATCACTGGAGTGTCACTGCGGCGACGTTTCTCTCTTGGGAGCATCATTTGTGGAGCAGCACTGGATTACAGAGGCAGGAGGTGGAGCGGCTTCGTCTTGCACGGAGCTTCGGTGGAGATGTCAAGTCATGCCTAGCCGACAGGTGCTACGCTTTGTCATGCATGTTCGGCAGGTGCTACGTACGACAGATCTTCTAAGGACTTCAAGTTGTGTCGGCTGGTGGCACTTTGCGGCATGGTGTTGCGGTGTACCGATGGCGGCCGTGACGTGCTCAGTAGTTTGCACGCAGGGAGGTGGAGCCGTTGGGCGTCGTGATGGCGTCAACGGAGGGCCGGACTGGCAAGGATGATGCAAATCTCTTTCCTGAAGATGGGTTAGCGGTTTGATGATGATGGCGGCCTCTAAAACATGTGCATGTGGTGCACGCTCTAGGTTTGTTGCACCGGTTGTAGGTTCCGATACGTTATGCGGATGGATCGGCAACAATACCGGTTTTAGATATGGGGAGTGAGAGCACCTCATATTATCGACTTTCTAGTGTGAGTGGTGGCTTGTGGTGGCTTGTTGTATGTTGTTGTGAGATCTTTGTTGAATAATTAATAAAGATGGCTGTATGCATCAATTGATGCATAGGCCGGGGGTCTTAACCTTTTTTCAGAAAAAAGTTCATTGTTGTTAATCTAGAATTATTTTTGCCATTTTTTTTTACAGTTTGAGAAATCGGAGAGTATGCGAATGCGTGTGCGTGTGCGTGCGTGTGTTTCATGTTCCTTTGTGATGCTGCAAACCAGGCGACGACGACGGTGAGCAGCCGCTAGTTCATTTGTATCCCCGTTGGTTCTTCTTCTACCGTCAGGTTATCGGAGGCACAGATTATAAGTAAACAATTGAATTTGGTATTCTTTTGTATCTTCGTATCATTACTTTTAGTAAAATTTTGATTTATTGATCAATTGAGCTTATTTTGTATATTCTCACGTAGGGCATTTTTCGGTAATGCTATGTGGTATTTTCGACTTAATCGACCATGCTTGTTCATGGTGCCACATTATTTTGGCGTGAAGTTTGCTACAACCGTGCCTCCGCCACTGTACACAATGCCACA